CTTCTGGTATAACTCAATGGTAGGAAGACTAAACCATTCTAAATATAATGAAAGAAATCGAACAGATTCATCAGATAAGAAGATATACACCTTGACAAGAAAACATAAAAAAATACTAAAAATAATTATTAATTAGATAAATTAAAATTAAAGCAAAAATAATTTACAACTAGAATGGCTAAAATAAAATAAAATAAAATAAAATAAAATAAAATAAAATAAAATAAAATAAAACAGACTAACAATACCAGGTAGTAACACATTGTGGAGAAACAAGTACTCTTGGATTCTGCTAGTGTGAGTGTAAAATTACACAGCTGCTTTGGAAAACAATTTGTCAGTTTCTTAGAATTTATATGACTCATCTACTATACTCTTTTGTATCTACCCAACATAATGAAACTATATCTCACTATAAAGACCCGATCTTGAAAGTTTATATAGCAGGTTTATTCATAAAAGCCAAAAAAAATGCACCACATTATTGACCATTGATAACTAAATGGATAAACTAATTGCATTGTGTTGTATAATTTTCAGTGATATTTAGAATTATTTAGCAATAAAAAACTAATATAAGAACAATCTATTTGAATCTCAAAAATTATCTTTGGTATATTAAGTGTGATACAAAAAATGCATACTGTAGGAGTTCATTTATAGGACGTTTTGGACAGACTACACTCATCTATCATCATTGAGATAAGAACACAGGTTGTATGGGGTAGCGATTGGAAAAAATATTCTTGCATAATGGAAATATTATTCAAGTTGTATACTTAAAGTACATTCAATTATTAGTTTATGTACATTAAAAAAATAAATCCAAGAAAAGAGATTCAAAAGAGTTTTTATGTACTCTATCTTTAGTATGCTACATATAAACTTATCTGGTGGTATTCTAAAATTTAAGGCAATAAATATAATTTCTCGGATTTTATTAAGCATACTTAGCGTTACACATTTTGTATCCTGAAGGACTTGAACCACAGTTTCCAGATCGATCAGTTATAGAATTAAGGTATTCAAAACACTCTTGAGAACCCACGGTTGTACCTAAAAGAAAAGTGTCGTTAGTCGTATTAAACTTATATTAATTTAAAATAATTAATAAATACATTTAAAATTCTAAAATGGCTTAAAATATACTGCACAAAATAAGATTATAATATAGAATTGAAAATAAAAAATAGGTTAAGATCACACAAAACCAATTCAATGAAATATTTAGAAATTGAAAGAACTCTTGTTTACTATCCAGATATCTTAGATTTAAACATGTTATGCAGTTTGTCTTCTAATTTTTAATAAATCTAGAAATATATATCTATAAATATGTAAGAAACTTTTTTTTAAATTGAATTCTTGGTCACTAATCTGTGTTTGCATAAATGTCTTTTCAAGTCAAACTACTCAACTAATACCTTGCTTTTTCATCATAATTTTCTCAGAAAAAAAAAAATCTTGGAGCCACAATTGATATATTTTCACAATCGCTAGCCAGTTCATACACATAATACGTTTAATTCTCATACAAGTCAACCTACTTAACTAGTAGTTTACTTATCATAACCTTCCATCAGTTCTACTCTAGTTGAAGAATGAAGCCAAAACACTCGATAAGAAGATTTAACCACTGCATTGTGATGCTGAAAACAAAAAGTGACGCACTATAAGAGGATTCCCAGTGGACACATCAAGATTTCAGTAGAAACTCCTAGAGGCAGTAGTGAATGAAAAACAAGAGGTTGATTTTTGTCTCAGAAGTTGTTTGCAAGCCTAGTATGGGTGAGAAGTCAAAATCATTTGCTTAGCTAGGGAAGCAGGCGATTGCTGATGGAGATAAAAATAAGCCAAAGTCAGAAGATCTTTCATAGCTATAGTGACAAATTTAGGTACTCAAGGGGCCTCGACATATAGTTTATTTTCTCCTCAAGGCTTGTTCCTGCTTCTAAACACGTGAAAAGCAGGAGATTAAAATGTAAAGAGACACTTCTATAAAGCAGTGCAGATTTTTCTGCAGTTTCTGTGCTCTGGTTACGTATCTGCCAGGGAAAGGGGTCTCAGTATATATACCAATTTTCAGTTAAAAACCTTGGAGAGTTATGCCCTGAAAACAAGAGTAACTACACATAGACTGAACATTATCTAAACTCTGCCCAAATCTTAACAAATATCAGCTTCTGATTTCATTAAAGTGATTAGTCTCTTATTTCACATACCTAACCGAAGACAAAGACACTTTATAGTAATATCTATACAAAAGAAGCATTTAGACTGAAAACGGGGGTGGTTTTTCTTTTGCCTTTTTTTTTTATGCCTACAGCATCTGGTATTCTTAGGTGGTCTCCTATCCAAATATTAACTAGGCCCAACCCTGCTTAGCTTCCGAGATCAGATGAGATTGGGCACGTTCAGGGTGGCATGGCTGTAGGAAAATAGGGTTTTTCAAAGGCAAAAATTGAAGATGGAGAAAAATGTTTAACTGGAAATATGTCTATCTAAAATGCCATTCAATAAAGAATACAAAATTTAAAACAATCTATCTTTTTTAAATAATTAAGAGAACTATGGTACATATATATTAAAACATACATCTAAAGCTTACAGTAATCCTTTCCAGAGACCTCACAGCATGGGTTCTGTCTTCATGCTCTCACTCTGCCAAGCTCCAGAATATCAGTATCTTCCAGTGGGGTGCTTTTATACATATCTGGTGCCCTGGTTTTTAGGTCAGGTTCTCCATTTTTTGTGGCTGCTACCCAAGAGATGCCTGTAGATCAATCACCTGACTCTGGTGGACAGGGGGTGTTGCATTCTTGAGTTCCATAGGATGGTAACAATCAGAGAGATAGTTCTTGACTGGCTACCACCCTCAAGGCACTGCATAGACATGCTGAGTCTCTCTGTGAATGAGACCTCTATGCTTGTCCTGGAGCTTTGGCCTGAGGGGAAGGCATCTGGTTTGGTATACATCTAGAGCCATATTGATGTTCTCTTAGGGGATGAAGGACACGTAGACATCATCTTTGAGCTCTCCTCCCTTTGTCTCACTTCAGCTCTCCAGTATGTCCCAGAAAAGAGATTTTACCCTCAGAATCACATAAGCCAATTCCTTGTAATAAATCTTGATAGGTAAATAGATGATAGGTAGTTACATGCTAGATGGTAGATGATAGATGATAGGTGATAGATAGATAGATAGATAGATAGATAGATAGATAGATAGATAGATTTACATACATTCACATACAAAGAGAGAGAGAAAGAAGAATTATATGTCCTACAGATTTTGTTTCTCTGGTGGAATTCTGACTCAAACAATTGTTAAGACAAAGGGATCTGTGATGTTTTAATTTGAGAATATTTTTATCTCTTCTCAGTGGCATGAGAGCAAAAAGCCAGCAGCCTTACAGCTAATGACCTATTTTGAGCTATGCTAAAAGAACTATATTCAGAGCACATAGTTGACTTTTGTCAACTTTTCAATAATGAATAAAACAAATAGAAGACCAACAAGGAAGTACAAAATTAGAACACTACAAACAAACTAGACATAACATGTATATATAAAACACTATCCAACAATAGCAGAATATCTGGTCTTCTCCATGCATTTGAAAATTCTTTAAGAGAGACCAAGAAAATTTAAATAAACCGAGAGATTAAGATCATACAAATCACGTTCTCTGAATATAATGGAATTGAATTAAAACTCAATAATACAAGTACATAAGGAAAATGCAAAAATGTGGAAATTAAAGAACACATTCCTAAATAACCAAAGCATCAAAGAAAAATATTTCATAGGAAATTAGTAAATACTTTGAGATAAATAGAAATAAAAATATGACATGCAAAAATTTATACGAAACTGAAAATTGTTCTTAGAAATGTTTAACTATAAATGCTTAAATTAGGAAAGAAGAAAGATTTAAAATCAACAACCTAGAATTCCATCTTAAGATACTGAAAAGAGGAGTATTCTAAACATAAAGCAAACAGAAGGAAAGAAATAATAGGGGTTATAGCAGAAAACAGTAAAACAGACAATAAACAGATGATAGAGAAAATTAATAAAAACAAAATTTATTTTTTTGAAAAGATCAACAAAATGATAAACTTAAATTATTAATCAGAAAGTTTCCCGCAATAAAAATCCTTAGTACAATGGCTTCACTGGTGAATTCCACAAAAATTTCAAACAATTAATACAATGCATCACAAATTCTTTCAAAAAATATATCTAGGAAGTACTTTCTGATTCATTCAATGAGACTTGATACTTAAACAACTCAAAGACATTTCAAGAAAGAAAATTTGAGAATATCCCTCATAAATGTAGACCTAACGCTCAAAAAATCTATAAATACTCTATCAATACTAATTTTTAAAAAACCAACAAAATACTAATAAACTGAATTCTAGATCATATTAAGAGCATTGTACAGCATTATCAAGTGAGATTTATTCCTGAAATGCAAGGATGGTTCAAAGTACAAAAATAAATCAATGTCATACACCAAAATAGAATAAAAGGGGGAAAAAACACCACGTTTCATGTCGATTGACACAGAAAAAGCATTTGACAAAATTTAATACCTTTTTAATGATAAAAACACTCAACTAATGAGTAGAAGAAAAATAACTAAATATGATAAAGACCATTTATAAAAAAACACAATTAAAATAATAGTGGTGAATGACCGAAAGCTTTTACTTTGTGATAAAGAACATGTCAAGGATGCCAGCTTTTGTCCTTTCTATTTAACGCAGTATGGAAGTCCTAATTAGAGCAACTGGAAAATAAAAAGAAATAATAAGCATGCATATTGGAATGAAAAAAGTAAAATTATCTCTGTTCACAGTATCTATGATCTTATATATATAGAAACACTAAAGATTTTACACACACACACACACAGAAACACACACACACTCACACACACAAACTAGTTAGAACTAATAAATTCAGTTAAGTTTCAGGAAACAAAATTAACACATGAAAATCAGTTGTATCTATATATTAGCAGTGAAGAATTATAAAAGGAAATTAAATAAACAATTTCATTTACATATCAAAAAGAAAAAAATATGTAAGGAGTAAAACTGATTAAGGAAGTGAAAAACTTATACAACAAAACCCACAACATGTGACTGAAAGAAATTAAAGAAATTAAATGGAAAGACATCCCATGATTACAGGTTGGAAGACTAAATATTATGATAACAATTATTACCCAAAGTAATCTACAGCTTCAATGAAAACCTTATCAATATACCAACAATGTGTTTTTGCAGAAATAGAAAAACCCATTCTAAAATTCATATGGAATCTCAAGGGACCTCAAATAGCCCAAACCATCCTGAAAATGGAGCTCAAAGTTGGTGGTCTCAAATTTTCTAATTTCATTTTTAAATTAAATTTATTGGGGTAACCTTGGTTAATAAAATTATATAGGTTTCAAGTGTACAATTCAACAGATCATATATGTATTGCTTTATGTGTTCACCACCCAAATATAAACTTCCTTCTGTCACCATATATTTGACCCCCTGTACCTTTATCTACTTCCCCCTGATTTCAAACTTACCACAAAAGCTACAATATTCAAAACAATGCAGTACTGGCATAAAGACAGATACACACACACACACACACACACACACACACACACACACACACACACCAATGGAATAAAATAGAGATCCCAGAACTAAATTATTGCATATATGGCCTAATAATTTTTGAGAAGGGTTGCAAAACCATTCAATGGTAAAGGACAGTCTTTTAACTACTGGTGTTGAGAAAACTGGATATCCATATGCAAAAGAATAAAGTTGAACCTTTATTTTATACAAAAATCAACTTGAAATTGATCGAATACCTAAACGTAAGAGCTGAAACTATAAAACTGTTAGAATAAAATACAGAGGAACGCTTGCTTGTGCATGGCTGGTGGGGATGTAAAATGGTGCAGCTGCTATGGAAAACAATGTCAGTTCCTCAAAAAAAGATTTTTGGCATTGGATTTGGTAATCACTTCTTGGATATGATACCAAAAGCACAGGCAAGAAAAGAAAGAGATCAAAATTAAAAAACAAACAAACAAACAAACTTTTGTTTATGAAAATCAGTAGAGTAAAGTTAATACATAGAACAGGAGAAAACATTTTAAAATCATATATGTGAAAGGGGTTAATATCTGGAATATACAAAGAACTTGTACAACTCAGCAACAAAATACAACCCAATTAAAAATGGGCAAAACACCTGAACAGACATTTCTCCAAAGAAGATGTACAAAATAGCCAATAAGCACATTGAGAGATGCTCAGCATTATTAATCAGTAGGGACATGCAAATCAAAACCACAATGAGATACGCTCTCACACCCACTGAGATATTTATGATCACAAAAACAGAATATAATTAGTGTTGGCAAAGATGTACAGAAATTAAAACTCTTGAATATGGCTGGTGGGGATGTAAAATGGTGCAGCTGCTATGGGAAACAGTAAGGCAGTTCCTCAAAAAATTAAAAATTGAGTTAGCATATGATCCAGCAATTCCACTTCTGGTATATACACAAAAGAATTAAAGGTAGAGACTTGAATCATATCTCTACACCCATGTTCAAAGCAGCATTATTCACAATATCCAAAAGGTGGAAGTAACCAAAGTGTTCATCAACAGATAAGTGGATAAGCAAAATATGGTATATACATACAGTAAAATATTATCCAATTCTAAAAGGAAGGAAATTTTGACTTATGCATGTAATTAAATTATGCTAAATGAAATAGGCAATCACAAAAGGACAGATACTGTATGCTTCCATTTATGTGAGATAACTAGAATAAACATTTTCACAGAGACAGAAAGATTGGTGTTTACCAGGGGATGGGGAGGGGTGAGTTATTATCTAATGGGGCAGGGTTTCAGTTTGGGAAATTGAAAATTGTTTTGGAGATGGATGATGGTGATGTTTGCAAAATAATATGAATGCATTTAATGAATTTAAGAAAAATACTTTTTGTAATAGCATCAAAAAATAAATTTAACATAACTGTAAAGCTTGTACACTGATAATTAAAAAGCTATAAAATATTTAATTAAAATAAATTAAGTAAGATCCAAATAATTGGAAATACATCTCATGCTCAAGTGTTAGAAGCCTTAATGTAGTTGATATAACATTACACCTCAAATAGATATGCTGATTCGACACAATTGCTATAAAAATTCCAGCTGCCTTTTTTGACGACATTAACAAGTTGATTCTAAAATTCAAGAATTTCAAGAGACCCATGATACCCAAAATAATTTTTGAAAGAAGAAAAAAGTTGGATTACGCACATTTCCTGTTTTCAAAACAAAATGATTTCAAAACAAACTACAAAGCTACAGTAATCAAGACAGTGCGCTACTGTCAGAACATACAGACATGTAGATCAAAGGAATAGAAGTGAGAGTCCAAAAATAAACCCTTACTTTTACCGTCAAATGAGTTTTCATCAGAGGTGCCAAGTCATATGGGGGGATAATCATCTTTTCAATAGTGATGCTGAAACAGCTGTATATCCATATGCTAAAGATTTAAGTTGGTAGCATTTCTCACACCATAAACAAAAATTAACTCAAAATAGATTACAGACTCACATTTAAGAGAGAGAGCTATAAAATTCCTAGGGGAAAGAAAAGGAAAAGAAAACAGAGAGCCTTTCAAGTATTTATCATCTCTTCAATGAAATTTGGCCAGGGATAAATATATCCTTTTTAGAGAATCTCAAAACAGGCTCCTAGCCTACTAATACAGGCACTTCAAAATACAGCAAAAGCTTTTAGAAGGTTAAGATTTTCTTGGCAAATTCTTCCACCATTTGGTCTTTGATCATCTTGTGATTTCAAGGAAATTTATAAGGCCTTTTTAATAATTGTGACCTAATCGACCAAGTTCCTGAGCAGTTTCAGAGCTCTGAAATGCCTCGTGATAAAAAATAGTTTATGGTTTTGATAGTCCGTCTTTAATTCCAACTGCTAAAACTTTTCTATTTTATCTTGGTTTTCTGGTAGATTCTCTGCCCACGGCAAGCCTGAACTTCAACTTTTGGAATCTGAAAATGTTCCTAGGAACATAATTGACTGACAGTTGTCCTGAGGTATGCAAAGTTTCTCTCCTGTGGAATTTAAATCATTACTCTGTCTTTGGTTTCACCATACTCTAAAGCCTTTAAAAATATCATTAATGAAATGTATCTTGATTTTTATAGTAATTTTCTAATAGTTGCATCTGTCACTAGTTGTTACATCTTTTCCTTAAATTTAATATTTAATACAGGTCTTATATTTGATGTGATTGCTAAATATTTATATGTAAATAAACTATCATAATATTTGTTTTCCTATTCCATGTTCTTTTTTTTTTTTTTACTCATGCTTGAGGGTTAATCAATTATTTTTATTGCTTTTGCTTTTCCCCTTTATTAGCTTTTAGTTTCACATTATTTCATTATTCTTATGAATACTTGACTTATGCCAAATTTTAATTTCTCTCTGTGCTGCATTTTATTGGAATGATTGAGCTTTGTTTGTTTTTCTGGTAAAACTTTTTCTATTTTTGTTCTAGAGGTTAGCATTTTTAACATATTAATAGCTTCATTTCATATTATCCTTTATCTTTTAAAGTTATTTATTATATATCTTTATCTTTTATATTTTAAAAGGTATGTATATTAATCAGCAATGACTTTTACTAATTTCTATTATTATTTCTTCTTGCTTAATTCTTTTTCCTGGTTTAGTTTCCCTTATTTTGGACATCTTTCACAAACAATTCTACAGAGATGAATTTGGAAAGCAAATTATATGAGTTCAAATGCTTTGATATACTTTCCCCTTTTTTGTATCTATTATGTTTACACTGGAGTAAACATAATAGATACAAATTTTCTCAATTCTATCTGCCAGCTTAAACAGAAGTTCTGCCTTTTTAGTGATTTAACTATGTTAACTTATTTTTAAACTTTAATCAGTTTACCTTTCAATTCATGATCTTCTTCCCCTCTCTCGATAGATAGATAGATAGATAGATAGATAGATAGATAGATAGATAGATAGATAGATAGATAGATAGATAGATATAGATAACAGAAAAGACCCACCTACAGACCACAGACAGACAGACAGACAGACTGACCAACGGGCCGACCAACCAATCAACGGACAGATAGATATAGAAATAGCTGTCTTTCTTCAAAATTTCCTCACTATATTTCCAAATAACCCACTCTCGAGACAGAGCGCTTTTTCACTCCATAAGTTTCTTTCCTGTGTCTTTGTATTGCTTTTCTTCAAAGCAATAGTCATTATTATTGTATGTTCACTTTGGAAGTTGATAATCACTTTCCAACTTCTTTTTACACAGAAACTAGAGTAAGCATTGCTGTGTTCCAGTTGAGAGACAATTGACCCACCTGGCTATTTCTTCACATATTCTAAATATTTTCTCTATTAATTGCTTTTGATTCCTCTGATATAGACATGAAATACTATTGCCGTTGCTGCTGTTTCTATCTTCTTCAGCAAATGATTCCGTATATGTTTCATATTGTAGCTTTCCTTTTTGTTTTCAACATCAATGAACATCATATTTCAAAGATTTTATTGTTACTGGATTTTTCAGAGTCTTCTTTGAGATTTTCATGAGTCATCCTTGTAGCTTCCTGCTATAAATGTATGCATCTTTCTTTGTGTGTTTGCAGGTGTAGTTTAAATTGTATTCATATGCCAGCTTATATTTATGACCCTTTTAATGTCTATAGGCATATATATTTATTCTATATCGATTGAGAAAACTGTAGATCTCAGAGATTTTAAATCTTTCTCTTTATTATTTTGTAAAAATAATTCAGAATTTTAATCCCAAACAACTTGTATGGTTTTTCCTTACAGTATTCCTCTTCTCTTTCTGTAATTCTTTAAAATATTTATACTAAAATTACTTTATTTAAAAAAATCACAATTATATATTAATATCTATTTCTTTTCATTTTCTAAAACAGTGTATATATGGGAAATCAAATTAAAATAAATACCTTCACCAAATATCTCTACACATTGCTTTTTCCCACTCACACACGAACCATCCAGACAGAGCCATTGCTTTTCTCCACATGGATAACCATTATGAATAAAAACATTATCTTGACATGATGCAGATGATCCATTGCAAAATTCAGGGAGATCACATTCATCCAAGGAAGCTCTGCATGTGTCTCCTTTTGCTTTGAACTGATGGGATAAGGTAAATTAAATTGAATAAAGTAGACTGTGAATACATAAATATTATAAAGAATGATAACTTTACTGATGTAGGTAATAGAGAAATTGTAAGACAACTTACTTGACAATGTTCACAGCAGTCTCCACTATCACAAGTGTTACCTTGTTTTAGTACACATGCAGTACTACCACAGCATGTGTCTGGCAGAGCTTCACATTCCTTAAAGGAAAATCAAATGCTTTTAAGTATCTTCCAACTTTTATTTACATTGGGTAGATATTTTAATAATGACAACATATAATATGTTATATATATTATATATACTTTTGATAGATGCTTACTTTACATGTTGGCAAGTAGAAAAAAATAAACCAACAGAAATTTATTAGTTATCTACAATGTGATAGACCATGTTTTTTATATCCCTCGAGTAGGTTTGAATATATTGGTAGTGATATTTTCTGAAACAGTGGAGTCCACCAAAGCTGACATGAGGATCTCTGGCTCTTGTAGACAGAGATAATTAAGTATAAAACATGAAATAAAAATTATGACTTAACAATTTCATTATAGTTATTAGTTCTTGCTCATCCTTTATGAATCTACTACATAATAATTCTGTAACTTTTATGAGATTCAAAGTTTTCTTTTCATTTTCTAAAAATGAAGAGCTAAAAAATGATGTTTCTTAGCATGACAAATTATCACCTCAATATTACTTACTCATATTTTATGATGACCTGTTTTAAGTTATAATTTGTTTATACCAGTGATTCTGTTTTTTGTTTTTTGTTTCTAATTCTATTATTAGGCTTAATAAAAGCAACAGATAAGAAAGGAGAATGCTAGAGAGATGAAGACTCTCTCTCTCTCTCTCTCTCTCTCTCACACACACACACACACACACACACACACACACTTTAAAAATTTCCAGAGATTTGAAATAGAGTTAATTGGGCCAAAAATTTTAATAAGTTACACTAAAATAAATCATAGATTTCAGTAGTCTTACTATGAGTTATAACATGATACTTACTAGGGCACACTAAATTTGCAGTGTTTTCCAGAATTTTTTTGCCTAATCTATGTCATTGTTATTGCTATCCATATGGAATTCCAGAGGGTTGAGTTATATAACAGGAATTTAGGACTCAATTATATGACATTAAATAGAGCTGAGATGCACTACTGTCAATTTTTATTAGAAATTGTTAAGGTGTTTCCGTTTAGACCCAAACAAGCAAAAACAAGTGGGTGTTGGGGAATAATTCCTCATAATAAAAGCACATCACCAAACTAGGTATCTAAAAACATACTTTTCATGTCAGGGATGGTACACATGAATGACCTTAGCTAATACAGTGGGGAACTCTGAACTCCATTCATGTCTTCTTTATTCTCTCGGGTTCATACCACTCACTATGAGTCTCTCTCTCTCCCTCACTGCATTCCCTTTAATTCTACTCTTTCTACCTACCTCTGATCTAGCAGCTTTTTCTAAGATTTCTGTGGGTTCAGAAACTGACTTTTATATATTATGTATGGTACAAATCTTTTTGACTCAAATATCGACCTGGATTAAAATATTCAAAGCCAGAATGTGCCTATGTTTTCTTCCTTAGTTGTTAAAGTTTTATATCTATCTTTCTGAATGGCAGAGGATTTTAGGTTAAGAAGAAATACTAGGGAAAAATACACTCAAGAGGGGAAATTTAAACCTTGAAAATCACTGTACGGATAATCTACAAACCATCAAATCTGTATACCAATATATAAGTGCACTCAGTGGTTAATTATAATCCCTATATGTCTTCTGAAGGTTTTTGTTAAAAAATTAGATTGATAAATTATGAAAATTGGCAGAGTAGTACTATAAAAATTAATAATTTTTATGTAATTCTGGTATGTATTCTTTTAAATTAGTACCAACCTCCTGAGTCCCACAGTCACATTGTTCTCCTTCTTCCACTTGTTTATTACCACAAACCGCAGCTTTATATGATGGATCTAAACGTGGCTGATTTTGAAGACACTGGGATTTTGGCTTTGAAATAAAATGTGCAAAATCTTCCATGCTGCAGTTACTAAAAATCTTCACACCACTGGAATGACTAAAAATATGTCAAACATCAAATTTTATGTAGTGTTGCTTCCATAAACTGCCTAGTCTTGGAATAAAGCTATTTAATAGCATTCCACAACAGACAAAATGTTCAACTTTGTTAGGTTCAAACTTGCATATATTAGGTCAATTATATAAGAATGTATATTAAATATTTTTAGTAGAAATAAATACCTAATCAACAAAATTTTATTGGTTTTTATATTACACTTATCTGTAACACTGCTTTCTCTTGTAGCACCTACCTCACAGAGTGATTCATCTCTGTTTCACTTGTTGCTTCCTTTTCCTCTTAGGGTTTCTTTTTTAAAAAACTTAAGTTTATTGAGGTGACACTGGTAAATAAAATTACATAGTTTTCAAATGTACATTTCAATAATGATCTGTATATGCATTATGTGTCCATAACCCAAAGTCAAATCTCCTGTCATCATATATTTGACCCCCCTCCTTACTCTTTGGTAACCACTAAACTGTTGTCTATGTTTATAAGTTTTTGTTTGTCTTGTTTGTTGTTTCCAATTTTATAGACCACATATAAGTTTTGAAGTCATGTGCCTCTCAACTATTTGTCTGACTTATTTCTCTTAACATGATAATCTCAAGATTTTGAGATTATCAAATCTCAAAATCTAAATATTATAATACCTTTGTATTGACTAAAGATTTTGTTTTTTCCTTCTTTATATTTTTCCTAGGTGATCTTATCTATTATAGATTTTAAAATACACCAATACCTGACAACTCAACTATTTATTTTTCTAACTCAAACTTATCACTTAAACTCCAGAGTCCAAAATGCAATACTTTATTCACTGTTTACACAAAGATAATTTTCTAAGCACACATCTAACATACCACTCCCTTACTACTCTGTATTTCCTTAGCAACATTTTTGTTTCAAAATATTTATCAACAAGTTGAATATTATTGATTGACTGATTATCTTGTCCTACTAGTTTTTTAACTCTAGGAGAAAAGGCATTCTGATTGTTTTGTTCATTAGTACGGAGTTAAGAGCTAAACGATTATTTTTTAAAAATGAAAAGAGTGAAGGATTAAAGAAATACAAATTAGAGTGACATCAAAAACATGGCAGAGTGAAAGATGTCCCCAGATCTCTCCCCTTGAAACAACAATAAACTGAACATCTAAAACTCAACACATAAAAAGCACATAAACTGCACAACAGCACGTCTGAGTGTGGGATCTGTGCATAAGAGCTACCACAGGTCAGAATCTCTGGTGTTGGAGGGTGGACTGGGAGAAACAAAGCAGCTCCTCTCGCAGCCACTGGAGCTCCCTATAGGAGATGATGGAGGGAAGAAGGTGCGGTGAGGTCCCTGAACAGCCCTGCCTGGGAGTGCCGAGAACTCTATGCAGCCAGAGGCAGTGTCCAGTCATTAGGGCAGAAGGCAGAGAAACGGGGATGGCAGAAAAGTGGGGATGGCAAAGAAACAACAGTAGATTTTTACCAGCGTGGTTGAAAAAATGAGGCTAAGCCACAGCCCCCATCCCCCAACCCAGAGGGCCACTCCCCCCATACTCTCCACAGAGTCCCAGGGGAATCTGAGCAAATGTTACCGAAACTGTCACTAATACTGACAGGAACTGAGACTGAGGGTAGCAAGCATGATTAAACATCTATAAAGACTTTATATAAAGCAGAGATCCAGGAGGCTTAGACACCACCTACTGGAAACCAATAGAAAAACAACTTTGCAACAGACTAAAGACTATTATATAATAAAGCTCCTTTCTGGAAAAAAAAAAATTAA